CCGGTGGCTGAAGGGTCTGGAATTCTACGCCGAGGCGATGGACATAACAGACGACCGGCGGCGGACTGCAGTCCTGCTCCATCTAATGGGGCCGGACATCCAGGACGTGTTCGACACCCTGCCGGAGCCGGCTGCAACGGCTGCAACGTCACAATACGACACCGCCGTGGCTAAACTACGCCAGTATCTACAGCCGACGTCTAACCTTATGGCGGAACGTGTAACGTTCCACCGCACGAGCATGTACGCCGGCGAGTCATTCGACGCGTACCTGGCTCGTTTGCGGGCGGTGGCTGGGCGGTGCGGGTTCCCGGCGGCTGACCTCGACCGTGAGCTCCGGGACAGGAGCGTGGCCGGCGCAACTCCACAAATTCAGGAGCGACTGTTGCAGACGGTCGGAACCAAAGGAGACAACTTTTCACTGCAAGATCTGCAGGCTACGGCTCGTGCATACGAGCAAACGCAAATGCTAGTGACGCAGTTCCGTAACGCGTCTCTGAGCACGGACGGCGTCGGACGGTCAACCACCGCATTGGACGAGCGGCCAGAGGTCGATGTGGTGACCTCGGGACCGGATCAGCTGAACGCTGTCCGGCCACAGCGCACGGCTGACGGTAACCGGAACCGCCAGCGGCGCACGGTCCGCTGCTACCGCTGCGGTGCGGCGGGACATTTTCAGCGGGACTGTCAGGAGAGCCGACGGCGCCCGGATGAGTCAGCGCGTGCGGCACCAGCGTCACGGCGGCCGACGGGGCCGGGGCGCCGGGAATCTGACACTCGTGGATCCGACGGGGTCAGACCGGCACCGGAGACGCGGCGGTGCTACCGCTGCAAGCAGATCGGACATCTGCGCAGTCAATGCCGACAGCGGACTGCCACGGCGGACATGTGGGGGCTGGGGCAGATAAACGCTGTTAACCTAACGGAGGCGGTTAAAATGACTTTACCGGTGAACGGGGTGGCCATCAAAATGGTGGTGGACACCGGCAGCCCTATCACTGCTGTGGGGCGGGACACGGTCATCCCGCGGCTGCGATTGAAACCTACTCAGCTACAGCTGTCGTCATTCACTGGTCACCGGATCCCTCTCCGGGGTGAGGCAGACGTCTCGGTAAGGTTTCGCGGTCGGGACTATCGACTGCGACTGGTCGTGGTGGACCTGCCTGGCGATCGCCGTCTGCTAGGCCGCGACTGGCTGCGGGCTCTGGACATCAGTGTGGGCGGCGGAGAGACGGCGGTGATGGACGTCACTCCGGACCGAGGGACGGCGGACCTGGAGGCGGTCTGTAACAGGCACAATTCGGTGTTTGACGGCACACCGGGGCGCATCAGTGGAGTAAAGGCGCACCTGACACTGAAACCGGATGCACGGCCGGTGTCACGGCCGGTGCGCTCGCCTCCATATGCACTGAAACCGGCCGTCGAGCAGGAGCTCGACCGCTGGGTGCAGGCCGGGATCGCGGAAAAAGTCGGTCCAAACGACGCGCCCGGCTGGGGAACACCACTGGTGACGGTGCCACGGGCTGATGGCGGTGTGCGTCTGTGCGGTGATTATCGACTGACGGTAAACCCGCAGCTGCAAATGGCGACGCATCCTACGCCATCCGCCGAGGACATCTTTGCGAGCGTCCGAGGACGGCGGTTCTGCAAACTGGACCTGAAAGACGCCTTCCTGCAGCTGGAGCTCGCGGAGGAATCGCGAGATATGACAACAGTCGTCACGCACCGAGGACGGTATCGGATGAAATCTCTACCGTTCGGCATATCGGCGTGCAGTTCGGTGTTTCAGGCAGCAATCGATCACATCCTGGATGGCATAGACGGGTGTGTGGCCTATCAAGACGATCTGCTGGTGACGGCGGCGAACATGACAGACCTGTGCGTGCGCTTGGATGAAGTGCTAACTCGGCTGGAAGCTCATGGGGTGAAGCTGAAACGGGAAAAGTGTCAACTTGGACTCGACGAGGTGCAGTACCTCGGCTGGCGCATCTCAGCACAGGGGCTGCGTCCAGTACAGGAGAAAGTTGACGCAGTGATCGACATGCCGGACCCTAAGGACGTGAAAAGTCTGCGCAGCATCTTGGGGAGCATCAACTACTACCAGCGGGTGCTTCCCAACCTCTCCACGGAACTAGCGCCGCTGTACGAGCTCTTACAGAAGGGCGCCACGTGGAAATGGACTAATGTGCACAAAAACGCACTGGTCAGAGTGCGGAAACTGCTGGCAGGGGACACAGTCCTAAAGCGGTACGATGCAGAGGCGCCGCTCAAGCTCGTCACAGATAGCAGTGAAGTCGGCGTGGGAGCCGTGCTTCTGCAGCCGGACGAGGAAGGACTGGAGCGTCCGGTGATGTACGCCTCTCGGACACTCACAAAAACGGAGAGGAAGTATCCGATGGTAGAGAAGGAGGCGCTGGCGGTGTCTTTCGCCGTCAAGCGTTTCGGTCAGTTTCTCTACGGCCGGAGGTGGACCCTGGTCACGGACAACAGGGCGCTGTCGCGCATCTTGAGTCCGGAGCGCGAGCTGCCAACGCTGGCGGCGGCCAGGCTCCAGCGGTATGCGCTGCAGCTCGCGGCTTTCACCTATGATGTGGAGCTACGTCCATCAGAAGACATGCACCTGGCGGACAGTCTGTCTCGTATGGCAGTGCCAGGCGGAGAGGTCGAGCCAACGGATGCTGAAGACGACAACAGCGGCGGCTCGTACCTGCTGTTCATGGACGGAGTAGCTCCAGTTCTGACGGCCAAACAACTCGCGGCGGCGACACGCCGCGATCGGGTACTGTCGCGCGTCCTGACGTACGTGCACAGTGGGTGGCCCGGACAGGTGGAGCAGGAGCTGGCCCCGTTCCGTCAGAGGCGGGATGAGCTCTCCACGGACCTGGGATGTCTGCTCTGGGGTGGCAGGACGGTGGTTCCCCACTGCCTTCGGCAACAGGTGCTGGCAGAGCTGCACCAAGGTCACCTGGGCAGCGCCAAAATGAAAGGTGTGGCGCGCCGATACGTATGGTGGCCTGGTATGGACGCCGAGCTGGAGGCCCTGGCGCGTGACTGCGCGGCTTGCATGGAAAAGCGCGGGGCACCACCGCGTGCTGAACTTCACCCTTGGGAACCGACGGACAGCTGCTGGTTCAGGGTTCACATCGACTTCGCTGGACCCTTCCAGGGCTCTTTCTTTCTGATAGTGTATGACAGCTACTCGCGCTGGGTGGAGGCAGTGCCGATGCGTGAGACCAGCACGGAAAGCACTGTGCGTGTTCTGCGCGAAATGTTCGCCAGGTTTGGATTGCCGGTCCAGGTGGTCAGCGACAATGGACCCCAGCTGACCGCCACTGCGTTCTCCCAGTTCCTGAACTCGAATGGGATTCGGCACATCAGGACAGCGCCGTGGCATCCAAGTAGCAACGGGGCGGCGGAGCGCGCAGTTCAAACCGTAAAGAATGGCTTGAAAGCTGCACTCAATGACGGAGGAACGCTTTCTCAGCGCCTCCAGCGGTTCTTGCTGGCATACCGGGTGGCGCCACACGCGACCACGGGGAGGTCTCCAGCGGAAATGATGTTGGGACGGAACGTGCGAACCAACCTGGACCTCCTAAAGCCGGATGTGCATGTGCGGCAGCGCGAGGAAAAACTTCGCCAGTGGCAGGCCGGTAGGCCAGGTCACAACAGGCAGTTCTCGATCGGAGACCACGTCTGGACACGGGCCTACGGTGGACCGTCCAAGTGGCGGCGGGGCGTCATCACCGCCCGAACGGGCCCGCTGTCGTTCGAAGTGGACGTGGGGAGCGCGATCTGGTCGCGGCACGCCGACCAGCTGCGTCTGGCGGGCACCCAACAGGCTGCTGCAGCGCCCGATGGCGCGGAGGAAATCAGCCGGCAGCCGACGGTGGCAGCACCGAACCGTACTGGACAGGTTCCGGTGGCACCCACAGGGATTGGCGAACCACCGGTGACCATCAGACCGGGGGTCATCGTCGGGTCAGGTGTGACCGGCGGGTCGGAAACGACGGTCAGGTCACCGGCCACAGACGGACCAGAGGCGACGGGCAATGATGCTGTGACAGCACCTGCTACCGCTACCGGTGGCAGCTCCGAGGAAGCGCAGGTAGCTGCAGGCGGCGACGCTGGTGCCGAGGAGGAGGTCAGCAGAGGTGGCGGTGCGACCTCATCGGCGACAGGAACAGGAGCTGGATCAGCAACTGGGGGCATCGCTCAGCGTGTTTCCGTCAGGCAGCGGAAGCAGCCGCGTCGCCTCATAGCCGAAATGTGACGGCGACACAAAGTCGTGTTCGAAGCGACTGGCTTTGCTTTGAAATAGTTTTAGACGGATGTTTAGTCTTATTTCGGCCAGTTTTTGTGTTGTCTGCTTCGCCACGACTGTCATTCCTGTTGAGGGGGGTAGTGTGTGGTGACGTAGCCCTTGCCCTCTGAACTTTGTGCAGTAGCTAGGTGGCGCTGAGCTCGTGGAGCTCGCGGGCACGGTGCGGCCGTGCAGCAGTCGGGCAGCGACCCCCGCCGGATACCGATCACCAATACAGGACTACGTTATTCAGAACGCTGTGTGAGATCGCGGACCGAGATCGCGGACCCGGAAGCTGGAACGAACTCAGCCGCGGATATTAGCGGCGCAACAGCTGTCAACCTGCAACAAGGAACGAGAAATCGAATGAGGGTCTTTCCATCAAAATCGGTTCATTGATTTCTGAGTTTCTGCGTTCCCCGTCCGGTTTCGTTATGATGGATTTGATGGATTTGATGGATTTCGTTATGATGGAGTTTCGCGAATATTCGCGATTATCAATCTGCTGCTCAATTGATGGACATGAAATCCGTGATCCCTGCATTTAGATGGTGTTCGAAATTTGTAACGTTTTCTTATTGCTATGGCGATTTGGCAAAACATTCGCTTTTAATTCGTCAACAAGTGCTTGCGGAGCTAAGCTCACTCTTTTGAACACAATCTTTATGCGTCAGTTTGTATGACGCGTCATATCTGAAACATCTTGTAAGGCTCCGAAAACCATTCAATTTATCTCCTTATTTAGAGAAGTGTATTGCAACATTTTGGATATATTTTTGGGCTAAATTTTGGGCTCCATTTATCTTTTCTTGCGTGAGAATAGTCATCATTTGGAGACCAGTAGTTGAAAGCATAAAATAACAATGAAGAGAAGGCCAAGGTCACAGGTTTGGGGTCAGAACTCACAGGTTTTGTCCACATTGTCCTTTCTTTATTTTTTTGTTTGTTTGGAAGCGCTGCAGAAAGAGAACACACACTAAATGAAAAATTTCCAACAACTAGATGAAATGGATCCCTTAGAGCATGGGCGTCAAAAGCGGGGGATGGGGCCGGGGGGACGTGCCCCTCCCAGTCGAGGGATCTAGGAGGACGTCCTTTTCAAAAAATCACTCATGAATGTTTTAAAATATATGTGGTATTTATCCTAGGATAAGGTTTATTTATCCTCATATTAGGAGGATAAAATGACTCAAAGTTTTTCCCTCACAACTCCCTTAGCACCCCACTGTCCCTTAACACCCCGTTTTAAGTTTTTTTTTTTCAATGTCAGTCGTCAGATCACCAGGTCACTTCGAAGGACCCAACTTCAAATCGCTTTTTTGCAACTTTGTCACAGTGTCAGAGCTGCAGTAAATGGGGAAGGCCTTTGAAAGTCACAGGATGTAATGAGGTCATTAGTAGCTACAATTTGTATATCTCAGAATTTTGATATCAATAACCTAGACTCAGGTCAATTTCTTGACCTCCCCATTATAAATTCCCTTTTTTCCACTAAAATGCATCAGAATGGCCCAATATATCCTGAAATTGAATTACCTTATATACGATCAACCTTGACTACCTTGAGGCCTTTTCTGTTCTTGGGCAACTGTAAGGTCATGTGAAATCATCAAGGGTCACATCAAAGGTTTTTGCCAATACAGGGTATCCCAAAATAATGTCACACCTTTCCAGCATCAATTGCATGAAAATAACAAACATGAGAGGTGTGCTTTTCTTACATATGTATCCCACCTTTCCCTTGATACGGGCAAACATACGTTCCAGGACATCAGACATCAACATATCCAGGTTCTGTGGACTGATCTTGGACCAGACAGACCGAACGTTCCTGGTCAGCATGCCTTCAGATTATTCTGGTGCCATTTTGATTCTAAGGCTGACTCTCGGAGGGGGCGGACGTGTCTCATCGAGCTCCGTGGTCGACACTGTTTAACCTTAGAGGCCGTAATCCGATTGTTTGAGGCACAAATAGTCCTTTTCTAAGAAGAAATACCTACTTTCGCACGGTAGTGATTTCCATCGAAGGCAGCATGCCAACTCTAGCCAGGTCTCCGGTCCCGACTCGTCGTAAAGCTGCGGCTCTACCGTCCTCGGCCGCGCCAACGGCGCCATCGTCTCAAGGTCAGGCGCGGGCGTTGGATTCGTCCCGTGATGCGGAATGTGAAGAAAAACCGAAGGAGGTAGGTGCCGAAGGTGCTGAATCTGAGTCTACAAGTAAAGTTGAAGAATGTGTTGCTGATGGTGGACCTGTCACTGAACGTCAAAAAGGTATGGACAGCGCGGTAAGCGGCAAAAATGTCGGTAAACTAGATGAAAGTGTCTACAGGAAGTGGGAACCCGGTTGTAGCCCTATTTCGTTCTCTCGGTCTTCCAGCGACACCAGTAACGAAGGGGCTATCTGCAAAGGAGGCCCTGGCAAGGCTGTATGCGGTGAGCCATTTCAGGATGGTGAAGCTTGCGTGCTCTGTGACAGATGTCACGACTGGTACCATTCTTCGTGCCAGGGCATCTCAAAACCGGCAATAAAGGCTCTCGATCGGTTCAAAGTTCTTGCCTGGTTATGTGTGAGCTGCAAAGGTGAGCTCAAGAAGAGTAAGTCGCTACGTCCCCCTCTGTCGTCACTTGCCAACAAAGTGGAGAAGCTTGACGAGACTATCCGTAAACATGTCACTGAGGTTAGTGCTTCCCTGAAAGCTCATCAGACCATCCTGGAAAATCAAATCAGAGCAACTGACAAAATCCACAAAGCTCAGGAGGCCGAACTTGCTCGTCAAGCTAACCTCATCAAAGAGTCCCTGAAGGAAAGTTCGCAGCAGAAAACATCATATGCTGATGCATTGAAAGGAACATGTGCTGAGGTGGTGAAGAAAGTGAGTGACCAAATCTCCTCTCTCCCAGGTTCAGCAGTATCAGGAGGTAAAAAAGCTGCCCATGACCTAACAGGAGTCCTCGATGAGTTTATGGAAAAGGAAAAACGGAAAGCAAACTTGGTGGTTCACAACTTACCTGAGCAGGTAGGACAGTCCAACGCTGAACGTGCAAGGAATGATTCTCTTCTGTTCAAAACAATGATCAAGGATGAAATGAAATTGATTGTGGAGGTGACAAATTCATTCCGTGTAGGGAGACGCGTCTCAGATAAAGCAAGGCTGCTGATAGTCACGCTTGAGCACCCAGCAGCAAAACATGACATCCTAAGACTAGCCCCTCAACTGCGCCACTCCAACAAGTATGTCAACATATATGTTTCACCTGACCTGACCAGAAAGGAAAGAGAGCTGAACAAGAAACTGAGAGAAGAGCTTAACAACCGCAAAAGGGCAGGTGAACAAAACTTGGCCATCAGAGGTGGGAAGATTGTCAGGATACAAGCTGAAACAACAAACACCACAGCTCTACATCCCAACAGTGGTGAAGCTGGCAACTCTGGGGTCATCCGCCCCCAGGCTGATGCAGTGGACCTGAGAGGGCCGGCCAACCCCCAAAATGACAGTATCATTGTCCCTCCTGCTCAAACTCTGCAGGGTGATGCCAAGGAGATCAAGGGAGCCAGGGTGAGAGGAGTGGCTGTTCCCCCAAGTGGGTGTAGCAGAGACCATCCTGCTCAAACAAGTCCCCAGGCTGACCCTCCTCTAGGCACCACAATGGGTGGAGCTAATGCCCTATCTGAGGGAAGAAACAATGACCATCGGACTCAATTGCCCCCACCGGAAGCTGCTCAGACCAAGGGGGCTGGGACGAGAGGAGTGGCTGTTCCCCCAAGCGGGTGTATCAGAGACCATCCTGCTCAATCAGGTTCCCAGGTTGACCCTCTGGCTGCGCTGCCCAGTCCTGCAGTGGGAGGTGCTGCTGTTCTGTCTGGGGGCGGAGGCTGTGGAGACATCCCTGCTCGAGCAACCCCACAGGAAGTTGTGCAGGCTGAGCAAGCTGGGGCGAGTGGACTGGCTGTTCCCCCTAGTGGGTGTAGCAGAGACCATCCAACTCACAGTGGCCCTCAGGCTAATGCTCTGTCCACACAGAATGGCGGGGGTAACACACCTGCTCAAGGTATATGACTTGGAGCGACGACAGTGGACTGGAAGAAGAGCCTGAAAGTCTTATATACTAATGCTGACCAGTTCCCAAATAAGAGGGATGAGCTATGCATGAAGATTGCTGGCGATGAACCTGATGTCATGCTAATTGCAGAGGTCATACCCAAAGCACAAGTAATTCCCATCTCTCTCGCACTTTTGGATGTGCCTGGTTACTCCATGTATCCAAGCTTTGACCCTCTCCAGCCCAAGCTAGGATCTAGTAGCCTTCGAGGTGTTTGCATCTATGTAAAGAATGACCTGCAAGTCTCAGAGCTATCTTTTGGCCTGAACACATACATTGAAAATGTTTGGGTACAACTTACTCTGGAAGGTTGCGACAAGCTCCTGATTGGATGTGTTTATCGGAGTCCATCACACCATCCGCAGGAGAGCACTGATGAACTATGTCAGCTCTTGCGCATGGCCTGCGCTTCTATGCCATCCCACTTTCTCGTCTGTGGTGACTTCAACCTACCACATATTGATTGGGAAAATTTGTTTTCCTCTGCCCCAGCCGAAGACCATTCTCATGCTTCCCTGGAAGCTCTTAACGATTGCTACCTCTTTCAAAAGGTGACCCTACCGACACGCTACCGCACTGGTGAGACACCAAACATCCTCGATCTTATTCTGACACTGGAGGACGGCATGGTGCAGAACTTGAGGTATGAAGCGGGCTTAGGTAAAAGTGACCATCTCATTCTTCAATTTGATGTGCTCTGCTACTCTTCCCGCAACAACTCTCACATGAAGCACCCTAACTATTTCAAAGGGAACCCTGCAAGGTTTATCGCCCTGGTGGAGGAAGTTGACTGGAGCTCTGCCGACGACCACAGTGTGGATGAGCAGTATACGTTTCTGTGCGAGTCCTTGCTCAAAGCTGCCAATGTCTGTTTCCCCACCAGTAAGAGAAAAAGTAATCGCAAGAACATTTACATAAATGGGCAGGCCCTACGGCTGAAGAAACGAAAAGAAGAGCTGTGGAAAATATATGTGTGTTCAAAGAATATCATTGACTACACCAGGTACACTCAGTGTAGAAACCGGTTACGGAAGTTGACAAGAAACCTGAGGAGGGACCTGGAGATCAGCCTAGCCAGAAACGTCAAAGAATGCCCGAAAGCCTTTTGGCGCTACTCCAACACTAGGATCCGAACAAAAGCCAGGCTCGAAAACCTCAAAGATGACTCCGGGCTGGTGGTAAGCGATGATCTCGGGAAAGCACACCTCTTGAATGCCTTCTTTAGCAGTGTTTTTACAGCCGAAGACGTCTCACAGATTCCCGAACCACCCTCACAGTACGCTGGCCGTCCGTTGGAGACGATCCAGATCACGTCCGAGGCTGTGAGGAGGAAGCTCGAGACCCTGAAGACGACTTGTGCACCGGGCCCTGACGGCTTACACCCGAAGCTCTTGCAACTCGCATCCCGGCCACTAGCTGGTCCACTTGCCTCCATTTATCGTGCCTCTCTCGATCAAGGCGTTATTCCCGACTCTTGGAAGGCGGCAACGGTCATTCCCATTCACAAGAAAGGCAGCAAGCAAACTCCTGGTAACTATCGTCCCATCAGTCATACGTCGATCCCGTGCAAAATCCTCGAATCACTGATCCGGGACGAACTCATGGATTTCCTATGCACAACAGACCAGCTCTCCAAGCACCAGCACGGGTTCCGCCCACGGAGGTCCTGCAACTCGCAACTCATTGAGGTACTGGACGACTGGAGTAAGATGATTGAGCAGGGGAGCCCAGTTGATACAGTTTACCTTGATTTTCGTAAAGCCTTTGATGCGGTCCCTCACAAGCGCCTTCTATTGAAGCTTCGTAGTCTTGGTGTGTCAGGCAACCTTCTTCAATGGATCGATGCTTTTCTCTCCGATCGGAAGCAGCAAGTCTCCGTCAACGGTCACCTCTCTGGCTGGACTGCCGTCTCAAGTGGAGTGCCGCAAGGCTCGGTCCTCGGTCCGCTCCTGTTCCTTGCTTTCATCAACGATATGCCCGCTGTCGTCGACTGCATGGTGAAAATGTTCGCGGACGACACAAAAATCTACCGCAGCGTGTCAGCACCCTCGGAAGCGGCATCTCTGCAAGCCGACATTGATGCTGTGGTGGCCTGGTCTGACAGATGGCAACTTCCCTTCAACCAGGACAAATGCGAGGTTCTTCACCTAGGCACCAACAACGCTCAACTCCAGTACACGATGCGAGGGGTCAACCTGCAAGTGGCTGAAACCGTACGCGACCTGGGCATCCACGTGGACCCTAACCTCAAGTTCAGAAAGCAAGCAGCGGCGGCGGCGGCAAAGGCGAACCAGATCCTGGCGGTTGTCAGACGATCGTTCGAGCATATTGACGACTTTACACTCCCTCTGCTGTACAGAGCACTTGTTCGCCCCCACTTAGAGTATGGTAATGTTGCTTGGGGTCCTTTTAACCGAGCCGACCAACTCCTGATCGAACGTGTTCAGCGGAGAGCCACTCGTTTAGTCAGCTCTATCAGACACCTGCCATATGAGGAACGACTAGAGGCACTGAAGCTTCCATCACTATTCTACCGAAGACGTCGCGGGGATATGATCCAAGTGTACCAGGTTCTCCACGGCGGAATGGACCTGCTTCCAGAGGATTTCTTCACTCTTGCAGCAGTCCAGCGCACCCGCGGTCACCCGTGGAAACTCCTGAAGCCGAGGGCCGAATCAAGACCGAGAAGACAAGCGTTCGGTGCGCGGGTAGTGAACGACTGGAATAGTCTCCCCCTCTCGGTCGTGAGCGCTGCCTCTGTAGACCTCTTCAAATCCAGGCTGGACGCCCACTGGGCAAACATCAGGTACTCAGTGCCTGACTGAGTTTTGACATTCAAGTTGCCTCGAGCTCGATGAGAACGGTACCCCACAGGCCAAAGAGCCTTTCAAAATTCTGATCAAAGTAAGGTAAGGTAAGTAAGTAAGGTATTTTGATCACCTCTTACCAGGCGATCACCCTAAGATAGATTCGATATAAGATTCATAAATAACTGCGACAAAAATGGCCCTAGAGCTACGGCAATGGTACCATCGCATTCGCCTCGTCAAACCGCGTCGAATGATATATATTTTGTTTGGAAAAGGTCAAGTTTTATGTTGACCTCATGTGACCTCGAATGACCTTTGGTTGACCTTGACACATGAAAGGTCTTTTTTGATGGATTCGCACCTGCTGATCATTAATCCGGCATCTATTTTCCTTTAATTTAATTTAGAGCCTCTGGATGGCAAAATTGTCTTATTTATTATTACTAACTTGGATCAGTGAAATAGCCTCTAGCAAGGAGACTCTTCTGTGACCTTGACCTTTGAGCATTCTAGTATCGTAAGATGAACCACAAATAGGAACCTGATAAGCCTCAAAACATTTCAAAACATCTTGGAAGTTAGCACGTAAGATGTAGGTACCTACGAAAAAGTGCAAAGTTTGAGGTCAATTTTGAGCATGATCTTGACCTTGACCTTTGATTTTGAGCACATTTTCGGAATCCTCAGATTCTCTTCTTTCGTTTGACACCCAATTTTGCCGGTTTTATGCATCCTGCCGTCCTCTAGAATGCTTACTTTGAGATCACTACACATGTGCCGGTTTTTGCCTTTGACCTTGACTTCTGACCTTGAAAATTGACCTGAGGTCACAAATTTTAGGTGCTTTAGAATCGTCTCGTAAGGACCTTTCGTTAAATATCGCTTTTGTTTCCGCAGCTCCATTATTTACGAAGCTAGACGGGGGGGGGGCGAAAAACGCCCCCCCCCCCCGGGCTGCGGTGGTTGGGATTACCCCCGGGCCCGGCCGGGTAATGGGATGTCCAACACTGAAACGCACGCCTTTATGAAATATTAGGTTGCATTATGAAAGCAAGATTATTGGGGGACCCCAATAATCTTCCCCCAAATCCGACCCCCGCGACCCTGCACCGACGGTGCAGCCCCTGCTCACTTTCATTGGAATAAGTAAGGCAATGAGGAATGCTAGCCTGTATGCTTTTATTGCAGGGGAACGGAACATGCAGTGCAGCTGCACTGCAATACACGCTTTTTGATGAAAATAAGTGACTCCGGTTCATAAGCCACCGCTTAATAAATCCAAAACACCTTGTCACCAAGATGGATTTATTAAGCGGATCCCACTGTACAGGGTGTCCCATAAGTTCGTTCTCACATTTTATTTGCATGTGAAACAGAGTACTTTGCGTTTTGATATATTTATGACCCCTCAATGTGCTCCCCATTTAATAGGCAAACACATGAACACATGCTGCGGCATGCCAACCGGCATGTTTGGCTGCATAGCAGGCTTAAAGTTAACCCAGACTGACTTGACATGCGCCGTGAGCTCCTCGAGGCTGGAACAGCGCTACGCTTCGACGAGCCTAAATTTCAGCATAACCAACAATTTTTTATGAAATTTTGATCCGATGAGGTGCCTGGCATGTGGTCTTGCCACAAACGCCTGTCACAGTCTCCTTCCACCGCTTTTAAGCTTTGCTTGGCCTGTGCACTGATGCACTGTCTTGCCTGAAGATGGGCCTACGACCTCTCGGATGCCATTTTCTCCTCTATAAATGTGTTCATACTCGCGGTTCGAGTTCAGCTTGAGGGCTGAAACTCCTCCTAGATTTTCTTGGAAAAGCATTATGCTTCCCAAAGCTGTTTCTGGGACACCAATCGCATCCTGGTCAGCGTCTGGACGCCTATAACCCCACAATACCGTGATCTTGGCCTTTCGCATAGGAACATAACGGGACGAAACGGAGGCCTCCTCCTTCGCCCTTATGGGGTTGTTTTCGGGTTTGGACGGGTGTTTCATCTCGAACGTGGACTAGTTAGTCCAGATGACCTGGTTGATGTCCTCAGCCCTTTAGTTTTTTTTTTTAGCCTCAGGCATAACGAAACTCATGTTTGGCCATTTTAAGACGTTTTTGACTGTTTTGAGCCCTCCGGTAAGCAAAGCTTAAGTCACCTTGAGTTATGTACCCCGTAAGAACAATTTTAGACAGCTGGTAATCCATCCTGAAAAGTCCTCAATTACCAACTTTCTAACCCTTTGACCTTTTTGATGGCCACTTTGGCGCTACACAGTTTTGGCCACATGGCTCACTCCTGAGAGCTGACAAAAAAGAGGATAAACTTGCAATGATTGACTCCCGACAAATCATCGGTGTCACTTGCTGACTGTGCGTCCAGTTAGCGATGGACATTGTCTACAGACTGGTAGGCCTCAATCACCCTCAATCGTCGCGAATGGTCACGTGCTGACTAAATACCGAGACGTACCCGTATTGGAGACCTCTATGTTGCGGCGTTAGCCGTCTGTGTAGGAAACGGGCTCTCTAGCAAAAACTATTTTGTCTACAGAAATTAGTTACTGTGGAGCATATTTCTACTAGCCATGGCAACCACGGAAGCTCAGTAACGAACCAATGTCAGCGTGCCTTTAAGCAAGAGAGCCTAAAAACGTAAAATTTAGGTGAGAACGAACTTATGGGACACCCTGTATTCTGATCATATTCCATTCACTGATCATAGCAGTGAATGGAATAATTGAATTTCATGCAGATATTTTGTCAACCTCCTTCAGGTCTCAGGATCTGGTCAATGGTCATTGATACATAGAGGAACAATTAGATAAGAGCGTTGCTCAAATACTTTCCATTTCTGTCAGTTTTGTCTGTGTTCTGACTTCTAACTCTCTTCCATTACAGGAAGCAGTCGTAAAGCAGCCACCATGACAGTGATGGAGTTTTTTGGATGTGGTTTTCTGGCATTTGGCCCACCCTTAGCAATGTTTATCATCACCATTGCTAAAGATCCAATAAGAATTATTATCCTTATGTCAAGGTATGCATAATGTTTAATTGCTCATATTATTATTGCCATCCTACTTTTTCTGCTGTCTAGACCTGGAATTACTGGTTTCAAAAGTAACTCGAGATGTATTGTACCTAACTCTAGATTTATTGTTACAGATGTTGAATTGTGCCTATAAAGATGACGTGCTGCTGATGTTAATTGCTAGTTTTTGGCAACATGGTTTTAGGTGCATATAATGTCCGTCATTGTTGCTGTTGATTGTTTTCTAATTGCACCTGCTATGGAAAATCAGTTGCCAAATGTAACTACAATTCATTTAACAATGCAGTATAATAACTTCAGTCAGTGATACTTTGATGCGCAGATTCCGTGTCTACGCCTGCCACTGTGAGATACTGCCACCTGGGGTCTGCATTTCGAAGGTGGCAGCCCCAGTCAACATGATTGTGATGTCCCTACCTCTCCCGGACGTGAAGTCGGGATGCAAGGGGGGTCTCTGACAGACCATGTCCGGTCTCCGTCGCTGCTGAGTTACCTACTTATTGAGCTGACGCTGCTGTCCGCCCGTCGCCAGCGCATTCTTCTGGCTATTGTCGCTGCTGTTCTCGTCTCTGCTCTGGTTCGCCGTGGTCCCTCTCCGCACAGAGCTGGCGTTCGGGATGGTGTTCTCCGTGCTGCTCCAGGAACTATTCAGGTGCGAACGCCGAAACGATTACTTGTGGGCTTTTCCAATGTATGTCAGCTACATCTGAGGCTTCTGGTTCTAAGACTAATGGCTCTTAACCCTATTAGTGGCAGGCTCCTGGCTACCCCATATTAGTGGCAGGGGGGGGGGGGCTGTTTACGACCCCCCCTTGATATCTCGAGATCTAACCGGCCGATTTTCAAAATTCAAACGGCATTCGATTTGGCTCAACGAGATCTACATTTCTAAAAAAATAAAATTAAAAAATGTCAATAGAAGGGGGTAAAAACGGGCAAATTGCAGATACATTTTAGACTGTTTATCACGGCCAGGTTTCTGAACCAATCTTAACGCAACTTTTGCCGATCGATAGAGAATGAACCAGGAATTAACATGGACCCTAAAAATATGCATTTTCAAAAATCATAGGCGGATACAGATCATTGAGATTGGGGGTACACAAAAAGTATAGTAGATAAGGTTTTTGTTGGTACTGTTTCTAAAAAGGGTGGCGATGGTCTTGTTATGTTACAATTTTCTTATGTAGAGACCACTCGTGCTCAGAGGTCAACCTGTATTGGTCGCTCGCCAGTCAGTCACTGCCACAGACCAGTCCACACGACACGCTCGTCCACATTGAGCCTCAGGCAATATGCGGGTCAGCCTACCCTCCCGGCTCCCGCATGCGCAGACGCAGCCGTATGGTGGGGCCCGTATCATAAACGCAGCTACGGTAATATGTACGGTCAGGGCCTACGGAGATCGGTGAAACGTAACAGTTAACACCAATCCACCGTACAATACACTCTCCTCCCTTTAACAAAAAAGTTTAGATAACGAAAACACACGTTACGCCTGGAAAAACTCAGTTTGTTTCCGCACTCGAGATGATCTTCGCGGAGCCATCTCCGTAGCCGATGCAGGCACAGACTTCGGAAGAGCTGGCTCAGATGGCAGAGGCATCGCGGGCAGATCCTTCGTGCCGGGCCCCGTCGAGGACCCTCCCGTCGGCTGCGTCGCCTCAGCCGTCAGCGAGCCACCGGTGTCAGGGAACGGTGCCGGGTGCGCCCCCGTCTCCGGTACGGTGGGCAGACCAGTGCAGACGGCCATGGGTGGAGAATGTTTGAAAAAGTTACCCCGGCCGGCGAACGATAGTCATGGAAAAGACGGCATGCTCAAATAACATTTGTAAACGGTTATCAACAAACCCCTTTTCTGTTGATTGAAATAATGGACGTTGTGATTGCTGAATGATGAACACTTTAACTCTCAGTTATTTCTCAGTTATTCAAGGTCAGGCCAACAGGTCACATCAAGTGACCTCGCCTCAAGTTTCATAATGGTGTCGGGGGCCGGGGGCGTTTCTAGCCTTAGTCCCCACTCAGTTGCTTTTACGTTTGTAGGTGAAACCGCGGCAAGCATTTGCGTGAAACTCAGTTAAGGCAGTTATAAATTATAGATTCAGCTATAATAAATCAGTTTCGCATCGTGGTTCTGAATTTCGCTCCCAAGTCACCTAGGGTCAGGCCATCAGGTCGATTTTGCTAGATAACCATGTTTTAACAGTCTGTGTTCATGGATCATTTGCAGAGCTTGGGTATTTCCTAAAAAGACGAAAGTTTCCTTTTTCACACAAAAATGTTAAATTTGACCGTTGTGGCCCTCTTGAAGCCAAGCGATTGGTAATTTCACTTGCACCTGAAATGTCGCTCGCGAATAGCTATCAAATGTTTTGTTTGCAGTGTTCTAGCTCCTCTAGATCACGAGCTATGAGAAAAGTTGTGAAAGCACGCTATGAAAGGGAAAATTTGACTTTTAATGTCCTGTGGTGATTTATTTTGTGCTGGCCTAAAATATGACGAAATTTTTCTTATTATGTTTAGCGTTCTTTCAAACGGCGCTGCCACTCCTCGCCACGCAGCCCAGCAGCCGAGTTTGAAAGGGCGTATAACGCCTACTCTACATCTCGCCTCAGCGTTTTCGATAGGGGCACCACTCTGGCGTGGTTCAAGTTTCAAGCCTTGAGCTCCCGCAGCTCTTCTACTTCTTCAATGCTACCCATTTTGTCTCATTGATATGACCCGTCCCTAGACCTGTTTTCTTGTGTGATGTTATTGTAACGTGATCTTACGATAACGACCCTTGAATATCGTTTTATTTTGCATGTTTGATCAAACTTGTCGCGCTCTGCGATGAAAATATTTTGTCAAAAAGTTCCAAAATCAAAATAAATAGATCTTCAAAAACTTAAAAGAGGTAGAAAAGAGTAAAGAGAGACACTTTTGTAGGTAGAACTCAGCTTTTTCTCGTTTGGAGACAGTTTTAAGGAATTACAAGAGTGAAAAAGTTACCCCGGCCGCGCCGGGGTTGGCTGAAAGTTACCCCGGCCACGGCCGGGGTGGCCGGGGTAGGTTCTCCACCCATGCAGACGGCCTCGGCAGCCGGTGCGGCCGTCAGCTGCTCCGACGGGCTGAGCTGCTCGTGAGCAGCTACATCAGCAGCAGGTCCTGTGACGGGATAGTTTGCGTCAGTTTTCCGCATCAACTGATCCTGATGACGACGCCAGATCCTACCATCCTCTAATTTGACCACATATGACTGCGATCCATCTATACCCACAACTACACCTGATATCCACGTGGGTCCCACACCATAATTGCGAGCATATATCGCATCCCCGATGTTCAGCTGTAACACTCGGGGTACAGCAGGGTCATGATTCAGCTTCTGCTGCAGCTGCTTCCGCTGAACACGGCTCTGCAGGTCAGGATGAAGAAGGTCTAGCCGGCTCCGGATCACTCGTCCCAGCATCAGCTCTGAGGGTGACACAGACGTAGTTGAGTGAGGGATTTTCCTCTGATACAGCAACCACTCAGCCAACACAGTCTCCCAGTTCCCATCTCCACTGCGCTTAAGAGCCTGCTTAACGTCACGAACTGCCCGCTCTGCTAGCCCGTTGCCTTGACTGTGACGTGGCTCTATCGTTCTATGTTGAACCCCATTAGCCGCCAGGAACTGCTGAAAATCCTGTGAGGTAAACGTCGTAGCATTATCAGAGCAGAGCATGTCAGGCAAGCCCCATCTTGCAAACATACGTCGCAATTTGACCATGGCTGCTTGCGAACTCACACTTGAGCACGGCTCAGCCTCAACCCACTTTGAAAAGGCGTCCACTACCACAAAAATGTACTTGCCTTTGATTGGTTCCGCAAAATCCACATGAACCCTTGACCATGGGCGTCTCGGCCAGGGCCACATACTCAGGTCAGCCCGATGAGGGGTCGGACGACTCTCCTGACACGCAGAGCATCGTCTAACCGCCATTTCCAGGTCACCGTCAATCTGGGGCCACCAGACGCAGCTCCTTGCCAGTGATTTCATCCGGCCGATCCCTGGATGGGCAGAATGCAGCTCTGAAATCACAGACTGGCGGCCCTTCTGTGGTATCATGACCCTATGCCCCCACAGCAGCACGCCTGCACACACAGACAGCTCCCAGCGTTTCTCTGAAAACGGTTTCAATGCCGGGTCAGCTATCTCGGGCCACCCGCCCTTCTGCACCAGGTTCATTACTCTGGAAAGAACGGGGTCACGAGCTGTCAAACGTGCTACTTGCTTAGCATCAAATACAGCATTCTCAATCAGCAGCACCAGATCTTCCTGGCCAGAGCCATCTGCAACTGGCAGGGGAAGCCTGCTGAGGGCGTCCGCGTTACCCATGTCTTCCGTGCGCCTAAACTGGATGGCATACTGGTACGCAGACAACTTCAATGCCCACCTACGAATGCGAGCAGACGCCATAGCCGGAATGTCTTTGTTTTCTCCAAACAAAACTACCAGCGGCTTGTGATCCGTTACCAGTATGAACTTATTACCCAGCAAGTACTGATTGAACTTTTCTACCGCGAAAACGATCGCGAGAGCTTCCCTCTCCAACTGAGAATACTTCTGCTCTGAAGAGGTCAGACTCCTTGACACGTACCCGACAGGACGCTCAGCTCCATCCACTTCACGCTGAGCCCTTCCGCTCCAATGCCTCGAGACGATGCGTCACAGACCAGCACTTGCTCCTTCGTCGCATCGAAGTGAGCTAGAACAGAGTCCGAGGTAAGGACACTCTGGGCCCAGTGGAAGCTTTTCCGCTGTTCTGGTCCCCATATCCAGTCCTTGTCCTTCTTGAGAAGGTCGTACAGCGCAGCCAGCCTCTGAGCGCGCGCTGGTAAGTACCTGGAGTAGTAAGTCAACAACCCAAGAAAGCTCTTCAGCTCAGACACGTTTCTAGGTTCAGGCACTGACCTGATCGCTTCAGTTTTCTCAGAAGTCGGGGAAATTCCATGCCTGTTGACCACGTGACCCAGGTACTCAACCTGCTGAACCAAAAACTTACACTTATCCGCTCTGGCTTTTAGACCCGCGTCTTCAAGCCTAGAAAACACCTTCTCCAGCGTGGTCAGGTGTTCGGCCTGTGTCTTTCCACTCACCAGAACGTCATCCAGGAAAACAATGACGTTGGGTATGCCCTGGAGAACCTTTTCAATCTCTCTCTGAAATATACCCACAGAACTGTTGATGCCGAACGGGAGCCTCGAAAATCTGAGAAGACCTCGTGAGGTGTTGATGGTCATGACGTCTCGAGAGTCCTCGTGAAGAACTAACTGATTGTAGGCCGAAGCCAGATCAATTTTCGAGAATACGGTACCTCCCGCTAGCGTTGCAAACAGATCCGGGACCTGTGGCAATGGATATCTGTCCAACCTCACCGCTCGGTTGGCCGTCAACTTAAAGTTGCCGCAGACTCGGACATTCCCGTCCTTCTTCAGCACCGGAACAATGGGCGCCGCCCAGCTGCTGTTCTGCACTTCCTCCAGGACGCCGCTGTCGATGTCCTTCTGGAGCTGGGCCTCCACCTTCTCCTTGAAAACATAGGGCAGAGAGCGGGCCTTGCAAAACCTCGGTGGTACAGTACGGTCAATGTCCAGACGTACCTTTACCCCCTTCAGCTCTCCCAGGCCAGGCTCAAAGAGGCGCCGATACTTCTCCTTCAGGCCCTGCAAGGAACTGGTTCGAATGGCGTGCACTGCCCGCCAGTTGAGGTTGATGTGCTCCAGCCAGTCTCGTCCTAGAAGGTTAGTCCTGGCATCTTTTACCACCACAACTGTCAGGGCACGGTGCTGTTTGCCTTCATACCACACGTCTGTTTGAAACTCTCCCAACAATGGTATGAACTGACCCGTATACGTTTTCAAACGAGATGAGCACATTTTGAGTTTAGGCTTTCTGTTCAACTGTTCAAACGTATCCTGCCCAATCAACGATACGCTAGAACCAGTGTCAATCTCCATATCTACATCTGTACCTTGAAACTGAACCAGACAAGAAATGGGAGGTACACTCACCCGATGGACCGCTTCCGTTCTGCAGATCTCTTCATCCTGTTCTGCACGGCCACCATCTGTCGTGTAGTCCGCCTCCCACTCTTCATCTGCTTCAACGGCGTTTGTTCTGCCCTGCTGCCTCCGAGGTCTGACTGTCGTCTTTCTGACTGTGCACATTTTAGCCAAATGTCCAGCTTTCGAACAGTTGTGACACTTGTACGACGCAAAACGACACACATCAGGTGAGTGGCTCCTCCCGCCACAACGCCAACAGCGAGCCCCTGGACGAGCTGACTGACCTGACGGCAAGCCTTGCGCCCTTACCTCACATACCTCTGCCGGCACCGTACCCGGTGTGCCGGAGATCAGGTGAGCGTCTCTGCTGGAAGCCTCTATCGCCAGGCAGATCCTCTGTGCTGAGCTGAAGTCCAGGCTGGATTCTGACAGCAACCGCCGCTGCATCCGAGAATCCCTGATGCCGCAAACAAACTGCTCAGTGAGTCTGTCATCAAGCGTGGCTCCAAAACAGCAGTGCTCGGTAGCCTTCCTTAGCACAGAAACAAAATCAGCAACGGATTGGCCTGCCGTTCGTTGACACGAGTTGAACTTGAATCGCGACACAATGACAGATGGTTTGGGTTCTTTGTGCTCCCTTATTACTTGCAAAAGCTCATCAAACGACTTCTCAGACGTCTTAGACGGTGCTATCAAGCTACAAATAAGCGAAAAGGCCTCTTTCCCACATACCGTCAACAGCGTGGCGCGTTTCCTGCTCTCGCCTTGAATGCCGTTACATTCGATGAAGTAGTGCAGACGCTCCTCCCACTGGCTCCAGGAGTCCGTCGCCGGGTTGAAGGGCTCCAGCTGCAGGGTGGCCGACGCTGCCCCATCCATGGCCGTAGAAGTCGCCCCGCCGCGCCGGTTCAAATCCTCGTCGCCAGTGTAGAGACCACTCGTGCTCAGAGGTCAACCTGTATTGGTCGCTCGCCAGTCAGTCACTGCCACAGACCAGTCCACACGACACGCTCGTCCACATTGAGCCTCAGGCAATATGCGGGTCAGCCTACCCTCCCGGCTCCCGCATGCGCAGACGCAGCCGTATGGTGGGGCCCGTATCATAAACGCAGCTACGGTAATATGTACGGTCAGGGCCTACGGAGATCGGTGAAACGTAACAGTTAACACCAATCCACCGTACAATACAGAGAACGACTAAAATTGTATTGGTCATGCATAGGCGGTGTCAGGGCACCTATGTTGGGAGGTAAAAAATAACCCCCCTTTTTGGACGCCTGGATCCGCCTATTATAGCAAAAACGTGTCAAAAGAGGATGCACAACAACTTTGTATATGTTATCACATGATACCTTTCATTCACTGTTCGTAAAACTGGTGCAGCATCGTGATCTTCGCCCAAATGACTCGCTTCACGAATAGGACCCCCAATTCCCAGTGCTCTGGAGCCGCCCCTGGTAAAGTTATGAACTTGAAATTTTCAGGGAATGTGCCCAATTTAGTTTTAGGAAAAGTCAGAAAATTTCAGCATCGTAGCTTCAGCGGTTTCGGAGATATTCCCGAAAAACCTGAGGGGTGGATAAAAACAACCCCCCTGCCACTAATAGGGTTAAAGTGAAGGGAACCTGATATTTCTTGAAGCTTTGTGATCTTACCCAATGATAACATGTGTTTATGCACTAGTGGTAACATGCGTTGAATTTTTGTTGAACGATGTGGATCGGATTCAGAATATATTGATAAGTGCCAGTGGATTGTTTTAACTTTTCAGATCCACTGGTGTAAACCATAACCACTGTTCTGTCTGCAAGGGCTAAGATGAACAGACTGGCGAATAATTTAGTAGGTAACTAAAATAATGTGCATACCAGTCATGGACCCTGCAGTCACCTGCCGTAAGTTTAATGACCGGTGCCCCCCGTTCTCAGGTTCCTGCTGTACAAGCTGCTCCGTCTGGCCGAGAGTGGTCTGAAGAAGGTGACAGACAACGACCAGGTGGTGACGAACCCACACATCATGTCCTACGGTCAGTAGCGGGGCAGACTGCTGGCTGCAGTAGTATTGCAGTGCTTCCCCTGCACTCAAACATTGAACTCTGATAAACACTGAATGCCATCAAATATTGTTACCGCATTACTCTCTGAAGCAATCGCTCATTTTTTTAACACAAGTTCTGAGGCGTTTGATGCTGCTAGGTACTTGGAATTCAATATCGTTGCCGAAATACTGCAGTGACATACAAAAACATCAGAATGGGTACTAATTGGGTAAGGTAGAAAAAGTAAATTGGACGAAAGGCTCAGAACGAACTCTGATAGTTACCTATGGAGCAGAAAAGTAACGGACCATTACCATTGACGGTCATCACATCGTACACTTTTTTTGCGCATGACTTACAAGATGCTAAAACACATTAAAGACAGAACTTGTAAAGGTATTCTCGCTGTTTTTGTCGTTGATGGCTATTGTGCGTTGTCAAGCTTCAGTTTCAATGTTACCCGTTGCGTGATGCACCACTTGGAGGAAACTTTGACGAACTGACGGTCACAGTTGAGACCGGTGGTGAGCACTCGATATATATATATATATATATATATATATATATATATATATAATATATATATATATATATATATATATATATATATATATATATATATATATATATATATATATATATATATATATATATATATATATATATATATATATATATATATATATCACAGATAACAGTAGTACCGTAAAGTGGGGCTATTTGAGACAGTGGGGCTATTTGAGACAGTATTTAAAATCGCTATAAAATGAAGATCGTTTGATTTTTGTGTGATATTTTTGCTCAGGGAGGTGTGGAATCGAGCAGAAAATCGCCTGAGCAAAAAAAGTAAGCATAATTTTAGGTGGTTTTTATTTTATAGCAATTTTAAATACTGTCTCAAATAGCCCCACTGTCTCAAATAGCCCCACCTTACGGTACTGCTGTTATCTGTATATATATATTATATATTGTCATGTCATTTCTTTCGTTTCTTCCACGTTTGATGACATGCAAATATGCATGCGATTTTCAAGTAGTATTTGTAACGATTGATGCGGATCCAGGGACAGTAACAACAAGTCTGTTCCCATACTCACGGACCACCGTTAACAGTATTCCAACATGATAATCAATGGGCCTATGCTCATTGAACTCTGCATCTTATCGTGTGTTTTGATCTCAATCTCTCGCTCTCCGGCAGTGTGCGGTCTGGGCTTCGGCATGATGTCGGGGGCGTTCTCGCTGGTGAACGTGCTGGCCGACTCGGTGGGCCCGGGCACCATGGGTCTGCGCGGCCACTCGCCCTACTTCTTCCTGGTGTCGGCCACCCTGACACTGTGCTTCATCATGCTGCACACCTTCTGGGGCGTCATCCTGTTCGACGCCGTGGATAGAGGCAGCGTGCTGCGGACGCTGTTCGTGGTCGTCTCCCACCTGGCTCTCTCCTGTCTGGTGAGTTCATCGACAGTTGTTGAGAGTTTAGTGTATCGACGTGTGGTGGAGAGTTTAGTCAAGCCTACTTCTGAATATTAGCTAGTACTAGTCAAAGTTTGGTATGGGTAGACAATATCCCTAGCTTACATCAAGAGACGAGACATAGTGACATAACACTATTCATGATACAATACAAGTCACATGACACATGCAGTCGATGTAATAGCTGCAGACCAGACCTAAACGCCTTAATGAATGACTTATTCTTGGTCAATTGATAAAAAATATTGTACTTCCGTCGTTTCCACGTTAAAGGGACACTCCCACCTTAACATTAGTTTTGAGTTGAGATAGCCAAATTGGTGGCGATGGCCTGCAAATACCGGTTTGGGCACTCACAACATCGACAAATGCTTTAACCCGCGCACCGACGGGGGGGGGCGGATATCCGCCCCCCCCTGAGGTTTTTCGCGAATAGCGGGAAAACCGCGGCGCGTAGCGCCGCGAAATTTGGTATGACTATTCCCTTATCAATTTTACACATGGTGTGCAAGTTTGAACCTCCTACCTTTCAAGGTCAGGTCACCAGGTCACTTTGAATGACCCAACCTCAAGTCACTTTTTTGCAACTTTGTCACCGTGCCAGAGCTACAGTAGATGTCGGAGGCCTTTGAAAGTCGCAGGATATTATTAGGCCATTAGTAGCTACAATTTGTATATCTCGGAATTTTGATATCGGTGACCTAAGGTCAGGTCAATTTCGCGACCTCCCCATTATAAGTCAATGGGGGAAAAATCAACTCCCTGTTTTTACCACTAAAATGGGTCGGAATGGCCCCATATACCATACATGACTTCATATACGATCAACCTTCACTACCTTGAGGTCTGTTTTGCTGTTGGGCAGCTGTGAGGTCATGTGACGTCATCAAAGGTCACCAAAGGTTTTTGGCCAATAACTCCGTACAGGAACAAGATACAGACGCGTGGATGGTCTCATTGTGTTCAGCTCGTCAAGACGCATCGAATGATATACATGATGACCTCGAGGTCACGTGACCTGAGGTCAACCTTTGACCTTGACCTTTCGAGGTCAACATATATATCATTCGATGCGGATTGACGAGAGGATCACGATGATGCCCTTAGTTTGTTCCTATCTTGACTAATTCGAAAGTTATTCGACAAAAACTCTCTCCATATTTAGCGCCGCCATTTTGACTTTTTCGACCCCTGTGACGTCATCTTTGACCTGACCTGAAAATGACCTTAGTAAAAATTGTAGATCTTGACCGTGCGTATCCGATGCCGTTTACCGCTTGTCGCTATCTTGCTTCGTTCTCGAGATCTCAGGGGGGGGCGGTCATCCGCCCCCCCCCGTCGGTACTAAGTTGGCGCAGACCCCCGTCGGTGCGCGGGTTAATTCGGAGATATGGAATTTCAAACTTGCAGTTTTCGGATTCTAAGGGGCTAGTGCATTGGTATGCCCCCTTAGAATTTGTGACGTCAGCGGAGATCTAACGATTTTTAAATCTTTTACTAAAACGTTTGGTAGCACGCGGTGGTATATGCTGCCTTGCGCGCAACAAATGCCGCACTTTCAAATAAAGTCGCTAGGAACAGCGGAGATCCCAAAAAGTAAACAAAAGTAAAAGTCTAATATCTTGAAAACCGGTGAATATTTTTCGATGAAATTTGGTAGATATTCGTTTTCGCTCTTTCTGAACCGAGCGACATCACTTTCGTGCCAATTCATTAACTTTTTTGAAGGTGGGAGGGTCCCTTTAAACACACCTTACCTTGTCTGACCCGTCTCTGGTGCCTGTGTGGGCAGACGCTGCTGAACGCCACCTCTCTGTACGCGGTGACGCTGGTGGCGGCCGTGGCGCTGACCGTCATCACCGGCTACGGCGCGCTGCTGGTCACGGGCGGAACGGGGCGCCGCCTGCTCACCTGTCTCCGGCCACGGCCCACCCAGCTGCAGGTGCCCGAGCCGCCGCTGCCCGACCGGCAGTGATACGCGGCGCGGCTGACCGCCCGGCGTCCACAGCCGAGGGAGCTGACGGCTGGGCACTAGCCTGCTGAGTGCTGGATGCGGTCTATGGGTCTGGGCTGTGGAGTGGGGACGGGCTCCCAGCGACATCTATTGCGAGCTGTGGTTGTGTGTGCTTAGGTATGATTATTTATCCTAAATGTTTGTGTTCATTAGCTTGATGTGCGCGCCATGTAATGACATGCTGATAATTAGTAATCTGATTGGAAAATTCGTCCGTACCTACAGAGCGAATATCTCCTTGCGTCATTGTTGGAATATTTCTATGCTGTGTAACGGTGTATATGTGCTGACTGCTTGGTCGGCCCCTCCAAGGTACGACGCGCCGGCTACATTTATTCAAAATCTAAAAGTCATGTTGCCTTTTGCCACGCTTCGCATAGGTCATGCTTTACTATCTGTTTTTGGACTTTTGGGATACGTTTGTCACTTAGTTGTCACGTTAAATTTTTAGCTTCATTTTTATCTGGGGTATCTTGGGCATATTATTACTACATCATACACATCGTAACAACGTCGACTGTTAGCTTTCTTAGGAAATGTGTGAGCGTTGTCACAAGTTGATGATTGTGCGATATGTAGTTGAAGGGGCGGTTGAACATGTCTAACTAGAAGGCGTACTTGACATTTTAATGGCTTTTGGGCGGACTTCTTTATAGCTCCAACTTTCAATGATTTCCGTTCTCTAATTGTAAACACCTCTTTATCTTGTGTGCGCCATGGGCATTGTTGTGGTAAAGGCATTGGTGTGCGTTTTGACGCCATTCAATCGCTATTTTCAATGAATCAGAAACTTTAGCCAGTTTCGACTGAGTATCGTTATCCCCTGCGTTTTGTAACACCCCTGCGTACCTGTCTGTCGAATGGACCATGTCCTGCAGTCCTCTCTAGAACGTCCCGGTCGTGCCGGCAGGTCCCCCAGCGCGGCGTGGTCTCGGACCGCCACGTCACCCTGACCTTCCCTGGGTGACGGCGTGACGTGGATCATCCCACGCGCCCGGCGCGCTCCTCCGTTCCTGGCCCGGCGACCTGCGTTCCTAGTTCACTGACTGATCCCGCCACCCGGCCGCTCCTTACCTCGCCGCTGACGCCGCGGTGAGTCTGGACGGACCGCGGCTTGTCGTCTGCTTAACTTGTATTAATCGCCATTCATGTTTTTCACTGACGAGATGTGTTAAATACATTCCACTTCTACTCAGATAGATTACCTAAAAGATTCTGAGTAGTCGAACAGATAATATGTGAAGATATCATAAAGCATAGACATTAGTGGTGCCAATTTCATGAAATTTCAATTCCAATTCCGATCCAATTCCAAGAAATGGCCAAGTAAATTTCCAATTTTGTCCAAAGCGGGGGCTATTCCAATTTTTAACGATTTTTGCATTTTTTGCGTACATTTTAAAAGTGTTTAAAAGCGTTTTAAAGGCCTCCGTTTTAAAATTTTAAATTTTAAAGGCCTTGTGTTCCGATTAATTTCCAAAAAAATGTTAAGAATTCCGTCCAAATTCCAAATTGGAATTGGACAAAAATTGGAATTCCAAGAAAAGAAATTCCGATTGGCACCAATAATAGACATAGACCTCCTGTTATCGAAGTTTAAGAAGTCGTATCGAAACCCAAGAGTTCAAGTTCAAGAAAAAGTCACTGGCGGGCATAATGTAACCCAAGCCGGCTAAAAGCTATCATGATTGAAGTGTTCCTAATCCGTGCCTAATTGCCTAGACATAATGTGCTCTATCTCATACCAGATGAAACACATTTTGAGACGACGAAGGTAACTGGCAGCGGATTCGCGAATATTAAACTACCGCCAGTCCGACGGACCGCGCGGAGGTGGTGTCTATTTGGCAGCACTCGTATATTCTGACAAGGATGACGCATACAGTCATTTTTTGGCGCAGTCACATGGCTTGAATCTCAAGCTTTGGCTGATTTTCGATAAGTGGTGGTATCTGCATGGTGAATTGATGGCTGCGTGGTCGCTGGATTTTTAGGTAAGTTGAATGCTTGTTACTTCATTGAATCCTGTGTCATCCTTTTTTTGGCAAGTGAAAGAAATTAAGCCATGGTTGGGTAGGTAAGCCCCAAAGGAATCTTGGGTATAGCCTATACTGATATACCGTTTGCTGCATGAATCATGATCATCTCATTCTGAACCGTGCGTTGCATGTTGGTGTAATCAGAGTAATATTTCTCATTCAAGAATGGTCCATACTTTCTGAGTGAAGTGCTATTCACAGGGTAGAAGCTGGACTCTGATTTTAACGTTTGGACCTTGGTGATCTGCCGCCCCGTTGTGAATTACAACATTGGGTTAGAGATCTAGTCTGCTAACAATGACAACATCACTCCTACTAAATGGAGTGGTATTTTGATGGTATCAGATAGGTACTTTAACTTCTGTAAAATAATTTGAGGAAATTGAGTCATTAGTTGGTAATGTACCTACATATTGTTTCATGACAAAAAAAACTGCATCACCCCATGAAATGTTTCAGGATATGGTGCCATTTGTAATGCTGAGGGTCAGGCATTTCAGTCATGATATATTTTCAATTAGTTGAAAATATATTGTTTGGAAATCCTCAGCAGTCTAAAAGGAGAGATAAACTGAACAGGGAACTGACTGGATGCATCTTTGGATGTTTATTTGTTTGATAATCAACAGAGTTGATAGCAGTTTGCCTCCCTTCAAAACTGTTTCACTGGTTCTGAGCATTTTCCCCCATGCTTTACATTGCAAAAGGGCTTCAGTTTTGGTAATATGGGAGATGCATGAAATCAGGGCCCTGTTTCACCGGTGATAGCAGCACGCTGCTATCAAATTGCGCGAGCTGACGTAATGTGATGACGTCATACTGCTGACGTAAGGGGCAATTCTGGCGCACGATTGCCGCAATATTGTTTTACGTCATCAGCTAAATGTTCGAAGTTAATGTCCAAATTTTTCCTAAACTCAACTTTTTTCAAATACATCATATTGAAAAAATATATACCAAAAATATATATACTATCATGACTGCGTAAACTCTTACTTTTAGGCTCATACGTCACTTAATGCCGCCGCCAAGGTCGCGGCAATCGTGCGCCGGAACTACCCATTACGACAACAGTATGGCGTCATGACATGACGTCAGCTCGCGAAACGTGATAGCAGCACGCCGATTTTACGACTTGTCAAATTGGGTTTCCATGGAGACATCAACAGGCCCATTGCTCCAACACTACCACAAGTGTGACGTCAGCTCGCGCAATTTGATAGCAGCGTGGTAGCAGCAGCCCGTGAAACACCGCCCAGGCAAAATGCGCTTGGAGCGCCACCTGCAAACCTATAGTTCTTTGATTCGCCCCCAGGTGGATCGAGGTCGCTAAATGACAATCGTGAGAAACCCCGTCATCTCACCAGGTGAGATCTAAAGACAGGACCCTGGCGTTGTCTTTAGATCGGTATTATTTTTGTTCATCATTATTTTCCTGCCCAATCATTTGAATTGTTTTAAAAATATCTGACAAGCAAGCTGAGTAATTCACGAAACACATGGGAGTCAGTCAATGTGTTATGAATGAGCACCACAACGGGCATAACTCTTCGACATGTGGTATATAATTGACTTGCCTGTTTTCAGACCTTTTGAATTTCGAAGTTATGTCTGAAGTTAACGTCAACGAAGCATACCAAGAAGGCAACGGCGCCAAAATAACATCAACTAGTAAAGAAGAGATCGATCAGAGTGAAGATGTAAAGGAAAAGCGATCACCAGCCGCTGAAGATCAGGACGAAGAGGATGACGTGCAGCTGTCGGCATTCACCATGTCTGCGCTGCAGGAGTTCGTCTCCGAGCAGCTGGAGCGGGAGCAGCGTAGGCAGCAGGCGGAGCAGCTGGCGCAGGATGCCGCCAAGGACCCCGACCAGCTGGCAGATTTCGAAGAGGACTGGGTAAGCTTGAAATGAGCGAGTAAATGGACAGTTGTAATTGCTAACGGATGGTGACTACACGACGTGTTAACTGGGTTTTTCAACCCTCTATACATCTTTTTCCAGGGATACTAGGGTGGAATAATATGTTCATAAAAGCTGTTGTTTTTTCTTTTTCCTTTACAATTCATCGTGTCCTTTTTACCGTCATATTTTAAACGAACGTCACACGTGTGATGACGGCTGTTTCTTTTGACAATATTTTTGTCAGTTTGTTTTTGCGTCCGCTCTGAGATTTACCTCGCATTTTTTTACTATGAGACCGACTCTCCTCTTTTCAGCAACTGAGTCAGTTCTGGTACGATGATGCTACGTGTCGTGTTCTGGCGTCCGAAGCGCTGCGGCTAGCTGGTCCGTCGGGTCGTGTGGCCTGCCTGTCCAGCCCCACGCTCTACCGGCACTTGCGCAAGGTCCGACCGCCTGAACTGAAACGTGAGCAGCTGATGTTTGTCTGAATGACAGCCGTGCATCCGATATACTTTCAACGGTCCGAACTAATAGTATCATATTTCTGAGATGTTATTTTTTCAACTTTACCCTAGCAGACATGTAATTGAGATGTAAACATTGCGCACATAACGTAATTTGATTACTTAAGCTTTGGAACCGACCTGGAACACCGAACTAGTGAGTCTGAAGCAAAAATAACGGCAAAGTCTCCGGCGGCGGGAAGCATTTTAACCTGACCGCGCTTGTTTTCGGTATCCTCTTTCTCTGCGCTTTTACCTTGGTTTGCATGTGTTTGTCATTCACCGGCCTCTTGTGTTTCAGTGACACTGTTTGAGTACGACCAGCGATTCAGTGTGTTCGGCCCAGAGTTTGTTCTGTACGACTACCGCTCCCCGCTGGATGTACCTGGTGACCTACGCGAACAGTTTGACCTCGTGGTCGCTGATCCACCGTTCCTCTCGGAAGAATGCCTCACAAAGACCGCAGTCACCGTTCGGCTGCTGGCCAAACAGCACATTCTTCTGTGTACTGGTACGATTAGCAGCTGTAGCCTGTACTTGTATTGCTTCCTCTAGCTTGAACTGTTCACTTTTTTATCCGGCGTGCTAAACTGATATTTCCAGCCTGTATTCTTGTTTGGGTTGCATTTACAGGCTGGACATTTGTATTAGCTCTTAGTTCTTACCATTGTGTTTTTAAAGTCACGTTGGTTCATATGTAGCGTACCTATTTTTACCGTATGCATCGGAGACTCGGGTCTTCTCGGCTTTTTTGGCGGTCAGGTTCGTCATCGGTTTGCCTTCTGTGTCGACAGGTGCCCAAATGGCCCCGCTGGCCGGTCGCCTACTCGGCCTCCATGAGTGCCGGTTTCGACCAGCGCATGCGAACAATCTGGCGAATGAGTTCCGCTGCTTCGCCAGCTATGACTTGGACAGCCACGTCTCGAAGGGTACTACATGACACCAGTGCAGCAGGGAACCGGGGGGGGGGGGGGGGAGGATATTGGGAACTGGTGTTATTCGTCTGGCACGTGACAAGCTGACAAATAATGCGTAAGCAAGAGTGATAACGACAGCTGGCCGGTGCAGTAGTACTTCATGTCGTAAGTGAAGCCGATTCGTGCTGGCCTGACCCTGGGTATGTTCAGGAAAAGCGTGGCAAATTGCAAGATGCGTTGTCATTTACGAGAAATGTGCTGATGTATGCTACATAAACAGTAATTAATACAATAAAATTCATCCATTTTAGATTAAAACATAGTCCCGCGGCGAGACGCCGACTTCAGACCCGTTTATAAAACAGCTGTCTGTAGCAATATGCATGCAACAAAAAATGACAGCATGCCATTGGTACTGTTTAAAATTTTTGAGGAAAAAAATTAAAATTTTGTTCTTTACAACACACCATCTAGTTTACCTTTTGCCACCAGTCGTGCATCTTGGCTGATTAAGAAATCAAGTAACGATTCGCAATCTATCCTTGGAAGCGCAACTTGCCAGTCAACATGGCTCATGCAAGCTCATTCAACGGTTCTGTACCTTTCTGGTATTGAAGTAAAAGGCTCCAACAGAAAAATTCTCCAAAGAGTGTTTTATTCCCACAAAATAATCGTTCAAGCACACAAACTATTTACTCTTGGTCGAATGCATTTCTATCTTGTTAAATAATGGAAGACTTGTAGGACATTTAGTTGCAATATCCCATATAGTATAAATATAACCGCAGGTTGTTTGAAATAGACAACACTATTCGTTAGAATTGTGTTATCTATTGAAAACAACCGGAGCAGTTCGAGGTTGGGGTACGGTTGTGTATAATGATACCTACGTCTCTCATGAGCCTATCGCTCATAGATATTTTACAAGCGATAACATATGACATCAGATACCTATCTACCATATCAAATATAGTAAATATTTTAAAGTGCGAGTTATTTAAAGGTAGTGTGCCAGCTTTCCTGGACCGTATGGAGTTAATGGCCCAGATAAGGAGAACCGGATTTTTAGAACTTATCCATACCTTCAAAACTCATGGAAACGTCTTAAATTCTTCAAATTTTGAGTACCCCAGTGCGAAATTCGCCCCGACGGGTTGTCGGTCGTACCCCAACCACATTTCACACCACTATGAACAATAAATGCACACACTGAAATCGCTATTACCGATATGCTCATCCAATCAAGTTTCGATAAACCCGTTCAGCATCATCTCCTGCGGTTTCGAACACGCCTGTTAGGTGGTGCGGTAGACCGCGCCCAAAGCCAGGGCCCCGGTAACGTGAGGTAGCCGAGTCGGGGCAGCGCGCGCTGACCCAAGCCGGGGCCGCGCGTCCTCCCGGTGTCATGTGATAGCCCGGGGCTGCCCGCGGGGATGCGGTAGACCGCGCCCAAAGCTGCGGCCCCGGCTTGGGTCAGCGCACGCTGCCCCGACTCGGCTACCTCACGTTACCGGGGCCCTGGCTTTGGGCGCGGCTTCTGCTCATACTTTGTGGTGCGGTGGTGGTGCGTCGGGCCGCGCGCTCTGACTTCGGCCAAGAAAAATGCGTCAGCTGATCATTGTCATTTCTGCCACTTGCGTGTGGTGAAATGGGGTCATAACTAAGAGACGGCTTTTTCATATCAATTATTTTACATAAAATCATATTTCAAACCATAAATAATGTTCGACAGCCAAATAAAAGAAACAATACCAATACAGGCTTACAGTTTAAGGCTCGACATTGTGTTGTCTACGATTAGACAGCTGATAACTCATTCCCGTACGTCGTAACTCTATAATGACCTTTGCTTATTGTCACATGTGCGCCGCATTCGCGATTGTTGCCGACGCCTGTTTGCAGCTCAGCCCACTACAGTTGTTATACACATGGGTGGAGAACCTGCCCCGGCCACCCCGGCCGTGGCCGGGGTAACTTTCAGCCTACCCCGGCGCGGCCGGGGTAACTTTGTCCACTTTTGTAAATCCTATCTCCATGCGAAAAACTGCCACCTATAAAAGAATCTCTCATTATTCTTATCTACCTTCAAAGGTTTTTTAAAATTTACTTTATTTTCATTTTGGAGCTTCTATGCTCTCAATTTTTTTTTCATCGCGCAGCCCGACAAGTTTCATCTAACAACCCTAAATCATATTTAAGGGCCGTTATCGTAAGATGGCACTGCAATATCATCACAAGAGAGGACGAGGGTAATATCAGTGTCCAGTGAGATAGAAGGACGAGCTGTTGGGGGCTGGGGCTCAAGGCTCCTCCAACTTAACCCGCGCCAGGGTGGTGGCCCTATCGTAACACGTTGAGTCGAGCGGTCGGCGTTTCACGCTCCTTCTAACTCGGCTACTGGGCTACGAGGCGAAAAGCGGAACGACGTTTGAAAGAGGGACAAACGTGATCAGAGAAATCTGGTCAAGTTTTAGGCAAGCTCAATCATAAAATCACCATAGATAATAAAAGCCAAATTCCTCTGATTTTAGCGTTCTCCAACGGCTTTTCTCAAAGTTCATAACATAAGTCTGTCCCGTAGCTCAGTTGGTAGAGGCAATGGACTCCCGAGAGCCCGGGTTCGAGTCGCTCCGGCGCTCGATATTTGAGACTCCTGACGGTGATGGTCTGCGGTTGGTGGGAGCAGCCGCAGCCAGCTGAAGTCAGTTGAGTGGGACAGGCCGTGTCCGGCTTTGAAGGGCACGTTAAACTTTGGCATCTAAATTATCCCGTTACCCAGAATTGCGCGATCGGACGGTAGGGTTCGGGGTCTACCTACGCAACAAGCTCTGCTTAGCGTGGGCCCCCGGCTCTGTCAATCGGTCCATTAAAAAATTCGAGCTAAATCACTGCAAATAAAACATTGGATAACTCGTAATGGCAGACATCCATTGTTCCATGCCACAGAATAGGGGTTTGTTGATAACCGTTGACAAATATTTGTGCATCATCGTCTTTCTGACTTTCGGTCGCCGGCCGGGGTAACTTTTTCAAACATTCTCCACCCATGGTTATACATATCGAAAAACCGATAAACTTTTAGGCGAAAAAGGCACTATTCCAGGCCCATTTTTGATTATCTTTGCGATATTAGGTAAAAACAGAAGCTTCTTATCCTAGGAAAAATAAAATGGGAAATCTTTCAAAGGTGGCACACTACCTTTAACAATGTCTTGTTCTAGGCGCCTTATCAAGATTGATAACGTGATAAACTTGGACTCGCGGCTAGAGCAATGTCTTCCTTGTTGATGGATATAATTTACAGCACGAACTGGTGGTAAATAATTGTCAGAAATGCACAAATCCCGAAAACCATCAAAAGGGTAAAATGAAATAACTCCAGTAAGCATAGCGAAGCGAAACCGATAACTCAAGTGCTCGTATAAAGCTGTCTAGTGTTCACACAGGCCCCAATACACAGCCACAAGGGTAAGCTATCCAGGATGGTGACCCACAGCTTATGAGATAGACCTTCAGATCAGAGCCCACAAGCCCACCACTTGTTACCACTGTTATTTTGTCACTGCCGCTCGCATGAAGGAGGAAGCGGTGCCAGAGGTGGCTCCCGTCCGTCGGAGTCGCTGCCAGGGAGGTCCGTCTGACTGGCAGACTGGGTGCCGTCAACTCCCAACAGCGGCCCCAGCCGACGGCGGGCGGACCCCGCCGACCCCGGTCGCCGCCCACTCCTCAGACGAGCCACGAGAACATCGTATTGCTGTCGTACCATGGCCAGCTGGGCACGCAGCCTGGCGATCTCCAGGTCCCGCTGTTTCAGCAGCAGCTCCTGCGAGCCGGCTGTCTCCTCGAGTGACTCGCAAAGCAGACGGCTCTCCTCGAGGGAGTCGCGCGGGTCCGGCGGCTCGTCCAGACAGAAGAACTGGCGCACCGCCTCGTGCCGCGAGATGTCTGGATGACTGGTGATGTTAGTGACGAATGCTTGCAACCCAAGCATACGGTCCTCCAAAAAACACGGATCAAAGTTGTCGCCGAACCAGCGCTTGGGCGGTAGCGCGAGGCGCAAACCAGGAAACGATAGTCGCAACTTCTTGTTGAGCCGCGCGAAGTCTGTGTAGCGTCGAAACACAAACCATTGTTGTTGTGATGCCACATGCTGCACCTTCATCTTAAAGATGGTAAACTTAGATCGTGCCTCCATCACTTCGTAACCTTGGATGGGAAATACAAACTCACCGTGGAGGGCCTTTCCCGGCGAAGCGAAGAAGGGACCGCGGTTGAAGCCGCCTGACAACATGGAGTCCGTGTCAGTGGTAGTCATATGAAGGGAGCTGGCCGACAGAGTGTCGTACTGTGGCAGCGTGCCGCGGACAGGCACGCGCCGTTCCAGTGGTGGAAGGTGGCCGTCCTCTGCTCCATCAAGCTCTTCTGTGCCAACGTCTTCACGGTCTGCACACATCATAACGTTCCAACAGGCAACCTTGCACTGAAAAGAGATTAAGCTAGGTAAAGATAAAAACCTCAATGGCTTTTAGCATAGTCAGTAAACATGTTTCACTTATCAAAACACTTTTTCACGTACATTTTTATCCCAAATGACGATGACATACTAAATTCATAGCATGCTTATTTCAGATGAGCCTGTTTGATATATCTTCTGTAAAATGTAATTTAGAGCAACACTTCTTAACCTGTGGAATTTATTAAGACCACCATTCACCAGGCATTAAAGATTCAATTCTATTGAGCTTCTTGATGAATTTTAGCTTTATTCTTAAGTGGCATATTTTAAGCATTTCCAGTGCTTTTACTGCCTGGCTTTCAATGCAATTAGGTTGGGGTAGTGACAAAGAGCTGAGTTCCCTTAATGCAGGTACTGATTTCAGGCAGTTTTAGCAAAAATGTTAGGGAGCTCAAGTTTGTTTTCATTAGATAAACACAAGTCTAACAAATAGTGTTTTAAGTTTCAACTAGCACACACAAACCTTCAGTTAAATGATGATATGGCATATGTAATTGTGTTCAAGGCAAGCTTATTGTGCAGTCCTATAGCAGGCATCTCACATGCTGCTACACATTTGTGAAGTCGCTCAACTCTCCAGTTCTTAGATATTTACACAAATTCTGCTGTAGGTTGAAGGTTGTAGGTTTGCTAAATGCTAGGTTTGCTGGGTTGAAGGTATGCGAGAAGGTTGAAGGTAGGGGTTTGCTGAAGCCAGTTGGTTGCAGGTTGTAAGTTAGTAGGCAAGGTTAGGTCAGGTTAATTATGTTTTGTTTTTTAGGACTATTTGATAATTATTAGATTAGGTTAGGTTAGGTTAGGTTAGGTCTAATCAGCAAAATTTGTGTAAATGGAGAACAGTGTATCGTGACCTTTCACAATGGGGTGGCGGCATGTGAGATGCCTGCTATAATTATGCCACCTATTGAACTTCATTTCATATAGCTTTGGGTTAAAAATGTTTCTTTCAGAACAAGAAGTATAAGGGAACAATAGCTTAAAATATAGTTGAAACATCCAAGTTTATGCTAGCCGGTGGCCTTGCTGGAAGATTGTCACATGTGCACCTTAGTATGATGTGCCAATTGTTGCATAGGTAGGTGCACCTTCACCTAGGCACACAATCAAAAGATAAAATGGTGACCAATCATGCATGAATGGGCTTTACAATGATTTAGAGGTGTGTAGCATTCTGGACTAGTGCCAGATTCCTCATGAAATCCAACTTATCCTGTTACAATATGCCTTAAATATTGCCCAACATGCATAGGCTGCGGAATGGGGAGGGCACCAGGGCACAGTGCCCCCTTTGATTTTGGCATTTTCACATTAGCCCCATGAGATGAGCATTACATGGGAAGAATGGAACCAAAAGTCAGCAGTGCCCCCTTAATTGAAGGTGTTCCGCAGCTACTGCTTACATGAAACATAACAGGACAATGACAGGGGGCATGCAACACACACACACACACACAAAAACAGATCATTCATCAAACAGCACAAACAAGAACTTACACAACCAATGTCCTCCACTTTTCAAACACCACACACAATCAGGGCATATAGAAAACTACATCAATAAATAACATGGCTTGAATGAGAAACATCCCATTTAATGAAAATATGCAGAACCAAATCAAAATGCAACAGCACAACCTGAGCCAAGGCTATATAAACCAAATATAAACCCATATCAATATAAAGGACGACGGTGAGAACAGGGCGCCTGGGGCGATTTGATCAAGGTTCGTTAAATTTACACGTGACGTTTGGCACATGGAAGGCCCATTGAGCGGGAGAAGTTCCAAATGTCACGTGACTAATATGCTCTTACCTCATGCTCTTACCTCATGCCCTCCGGCGCCCTGTTTTCACCGGCGTCCAATATAAACCAAACCCCCGAGCACAACTGCGCGCGTAGAACCTGTTATCAAGCTTATCAAGGATCGCTGATATCGTTTGGTATGTTCGTCAGATTGGTAGCAGCTTGATATTTGCAAGTTTGCTTCTGGCAGACAGAATCGCCGTCCCCGAATAGCATTTTGATGCTTTTGCCAGAATAGAAAATAAAACAGCATAGCTACATTGCGTGAAAGTAGCTGTAAGTAACTTGAAGTAGCTGAAAAATAGTAACTTGAAGCTGAAGTAAAGTAGTTAGGTACGTAGTTGGGAGTGTACCTTACCTACCTACTTTACGACGCTTCACCATTAGCAATGTCAGATCCAGAAAGGTGTTTTAGTTGCTACACGGGTGGGGCGGGGCATAGGTACCGCAATTTCGCCAAAAAGGCTATCTTGTATAAAAAAAATTTCGGGTTTAAAGGGAGATAATGACCTTTTTCCACAAAATCTGAGTTAGGACCATTTTCTGACAAAGCACAACAAGTTATAATGTAAATTAAAACCATTTTGCTCAATTCGGTTTCGGTACCTTGCCGCAAATATCTCAACTTGAAGTCACGTTAGCGGGGAGCGCTGAAAATGACCGTTGAATAAGTACTTACATCACTTTTTGGTACTTGCATGTAATTTTGTAAAATGAGCGTATTCCTTACATTTGATCTTCATCACATCTAGTTAGTTAATGGTCGTCTATAGTGCCTTCAAAAGATATTCATGGTTTGGGGGTGGTTTATGTCTAAATTTACGCAACTATTTTTCCTGTTCATCATCTGACGCCATATGCTGCTATTTTAGTAGCAACGACTCAATTTTGAATCGGTCCCGCCGACTGCACAATAAAAGAAGATAGATACAACACTTTTGCGGCATCACTGAACAACTTATGCAGTACTGTTATCAAAATTCTCATAACACCGTTCGACAAACCTGATGTCTTTTTGAAATAAATATGCTTGTATTTTTCGCTTCAGGCTCTGACGCCAAAATAATGAATTTCGTAGTCGCAATCGCAAGATTTGGCTGCGTTTCTGGCGCATGCCGTTATTTTGTGGCGCAAAATAATGTACTAACAGTGTCATTTCTCTAGGCACTATGGGCCTGTTCCAGCGCCTCCAGAAACCTCCAGAAAGCTCCAGAAAGCTCTAGAATTCTCCAGAGAGCGTTCCAGCGCCTCCAGAAAGCTCCAGAAAGCTCTCGCCAAAGCTCCAGAAACCTCCAGTAGCCTCCAGAGAGTTGAGAGGTCCAAATTTCTCTGGAGGCTCTGGTCTACAATTATGGCGCACATGTGACAATCACGAATGTAAACAAAGGACATTTGACTGATAATTTTACAACTTGAATGTAAAGAAAATTACATTGCTATAATTTTATTTATCTTTTTAACTAAAATTGAAAACAAATTTTGCGTTTCAAGAGAGAACAATCGTCATTCTTTTGGTATCTATGACACCAATCTCCAGAAATCTCCAGATTGCGTTCCAGCGCCTCCAGTAAAACCTCTGGTAGAGCCTCCAGTCAAGAATTTATTCTGGAGGCGCTGGAACAGGCCCTATGTAGGGGAGAGTGGGGTAAGATGCCCAGGGTGGGAAAGACGCCCCACCCCTTCTCGCGGCGAAACAAAGAATCGAACCCGGAAATTAATGTTCTTAGCGTAAAGCGGAAGCCTGCCTTGTTAAATGCACAAAAATTTGCGAAGCTCAGTTGGGCAGTACGGCTGGCTGGTGAATGCAGGTTTTTTATTTGCTGCTTTCAAAAAATGTTTTGGTGTCAAAACATTGTAAATATCAAAGAATTTAGATAATTTTTGGGTCCCTTGCTATAGTCGTGATACATTAATATGCGTTTACTGGGTCCCAAACAGTTTGTTTCAGGGTGTAGTTTTATGGCTAACAAATTGTACTGATTTAATGCTACTTCGGTACCTTGGGGTAAGATGCCCCCTGTCCTGATGGGGAAAGACGCCCCCCTAAATCCGTAGGCTGTCCTTCAAACAGCCCGTCAAATCATTTATTACATGTTTGTGATGAGAGACAAAAGCCGATCTGGGACTATTGAGAGTCCAGTACGGTCGGGTGCTCCCCATGCCGGTCTCTCGGCCCACACAGCGACTTTTTGGGCGGCATCTGACTCTGAGAGCCCTCACGACGGCCTCTGTGGGCCCCATTATTGGCTCCAGGGCCCCTCACGACATCCTTTGAGGGCTCCCACGTTGGCTCCACGGGCCGCGCTGGCATCTGAGGTCCTCACGATGGGCTCGAGGGCCCTCAAGCATCATGAAGACCAATAAGGGCCCCACAGTGGTCTCCGAACGCAACCACGGAGGCTTGTTTGGCCGCGCTGGACTATGATGGCCCTAACGATGACCTCTGAAGCCCCTTACGACCACTTTTGAGGGCCCTTACGATGACGTTTGGTGTCTACTGCAGGCTCGAAGGGACTAATGATTCGTTCAGGCGATTCACGTGCCCATTTATGTCACTTATAGTGCAGGGGGCATCTTCCCCAACGCCAGGGGGCGTCTTTCCCACCCTGTGGGGTAAGATGCCCCCTTTCACTTCTTCAGGAAAATGCTTAATAGCAAAAAAGGTTATCATATTTCAGGCACGAAAGTGTGATATTTTTGAAGACAAATGATGTCGGCTTTCGTTGAAACTCCAAATTTTTGCTTTCCGATCGTCATTTTCGAATAATATAAGGCATAGTAAAACCCTGGGCATCTTTCCCCACTCTCCCCTACCCCCGAATTAGAATCTAATTAATTCTAAACCGAATTAACTCTAATTCAAATTAGAATCCTTACAACCAAGCAACGACAAGGCGATAACATAAACAAAAACCCAAGCGTCGCTGTTTGAAACAAAAGCGCCATATACTGCGACTTTTTATAGAGAAGGACAACGCATTTCGGTGGGTGTTACAAGTAGGTACTGCAAGTACTGCTTCTTTTTTGCAAAAATAAAAACCTTTTTCACATACGAAAATGTGCTAGGAAATTTTCATATTTTATAGAAACTACAGTAGAAATATTATAGATGTCGAGTAATTTCTATTAAAGAAAAAAGAAAGCTCATTATCTCCCTTTAATATTTGCCTCGCCGCTCCCACGCTCGTACCATAAGGGGTTCGGATGGATCGATACCCCTGTCGGTTTCTCGCGAATAAGTAACTTATGTAAAAGAGACCGATCACGACCAAACTGTCTGTACTTTCGTCTGACCCAAATGACCTTTGACCCGTTTCCCGAGGCCGTATGTGATATGACAGGCCAGAGTCGCGACTTGCCCCGCGTTCGATGTCTCTCGGACGGCGAAGATTCTACGTCGTCCGACCAATCCCGTTCAAGGTCAGCGGGGGCTCGGCTGTGGTTATGGAGCGTGATTGGCCGGACCAAGGCCGGACGACGTAGAATCTTCGCCGTCCGAGAGACATCGAACGCGGGGTTGGTGTATGTCAGCGCACATCATCCGTGCGGCGTGCGTTTCCAGACTTGTGATTAGAAATGTGTCAGCATGTGAAATAATGTTTTTCTCATTCATAATGGTGGCGTATCAAGGTCACTTGAAGCTTAACCCGCGAGTTGCTGGGGGGGGGGGGGGGGGGGCGTTAAACGCCCCCACTTTTTTTCGCCGGGCCATAGCATAAAAACGGCGCGCCGCAGGCGTACCTGTAGGGAATTGATTGAAGTTTATTGTGACAAAGTTTCAAAAAAATCGGTCGGAAAATTTTTGAGATATCGAGGTTTTAGTGACGTCATGATTTCTGACTTTTCGACCAAAAACGGCATATGTTCAAAAAATCATATAAAATCACAGAATAGACCGATACAGACATGCCGTAAACGCCATTAGACTGCCAATACCATGATCAATCAAATGGCTATCTTCGATTATTGATTATCGTTCCGCATTTTCCAAAATCTTGAACTGAATCTTGGCAATTTTTCGTGACTTCTTCACGACCATGATACATGAATTTCTTAAATTGAACTTTTTGAGCCAAACACGTACACATATGATAAAATGAATGTCACCATCGTTTTCTACGCCCCAAATTACCTATAAAACATGTGTCACATGCTGCGAATATCAGTTTTGATTTTCGGGGATATGTGCCTACCCGGTTGACCTGACCTTGACCCTGACCTATGCTTGACTGATCCCTATATGAAGCTGACACTCTTGTAGGCCTTATAAGATGGATTGTGCACCGTTTTGACAGAGTTTATGGCGAGAGGCGCCCATTGCAAAGTCCTGAAGTCCATGCTACTGAAAGCCCGATTTCAGGTGTTTGACCTGACCTTGACCCGACCTGTGACCTCAAAATTCAACTTTAAAGTACTCATCTGAAGCGTCTCGTCGCGCTCTTTCGTTTGCCGCCTCGTGCGTTTCGCTGCGCCTATTGGTTCTCGAGTTATCGGCTGGGGGCGTTTAACGCCCCCCCCCCCCCAGCAAACGGTGGGTGGCGAAATACCCCAGCAACTGCCGGGTTAAAGGTAGTGTGCCAGCTTTCCTGGACCGTATGGAGTTAATGGCCCAGATAAGGAGAACCGGATTTTTAGAACTTATCCATACCTTCAAAACTCATGGAAACGTCTTAAATTCTTCAAATTTTGAGTACCCCAGTGCAAAATTCGCCCCGACGGGTTGTCGGTCGTACCCCAACCACATTTTACACCACTATGAACAATAAATACAGACTGAAATCGCTATTACCGATAGGCTCATCCAATCAAGTTTCGATAAACCCGTTCATCATCATCTCCTGCGGTTTCGAACACGCCTGTTAGGTGGTGCGGTAGACCGCGCCCAAAGCCAGGGCCCCGGTAACGTGAGGTAGCCGAGTCGGGGCAGCGTGCGCTGACCCAAGCCGGGGCCG